AATATTTTCACTATCAATAACAATTTATGCCTATACGGTTTCATAAATGATAAAAACATTTTTCGTTCATTAACTTTTATAAGCTACACCAGCTATTATTTTTTGGAAAATATTTTCCATATCATTCGTCTTCTGAGCAAACAAACAGAGCCGTAATGGTTTTAATTGTCTCTATACTTTCAAATTTTTTGGTTAACTTGTATGCATATCCGACAGGGACAAACGAAGTTTCATGTTTGTGTCCGTTGCAATGGGAGGGTAATATTAAAGTCATAGGATTCTCTAAAACAAATTTGCATTAGGAAAATCATCAAGTTGCTCTTTAATCGCTTTCGCTAAGTATCGGTTTGTTTTTAATCTTGCGTTAGGAAGTCAACGCAGCATTTTGGGTCTGGCCTCTATGATCAGTGCTCTGCTCAACATATCTGCAGTTCGCTGGCTTTATGGTTACCTAATCAGGAACTTTGGCTGCTTCAACGAGAATAATAATTCAGTGGCCAGCCATGGAAGAAAAGAGAGGAAAGGGAAAATAAGAGTATTGGCTTTGTTTGATATAAAGTGGGTTTTTTTAAAAGGGATTAGTGCGTTGGAAAACCTAAAACTTGTCAGGAAAGTGTAATTGAGTTCTACAATTTTGAAAGGTGGAATTAAGTCCTAAAATTTATCACGAAGGTACAATCGAGTCATAAAAATTCCAAAAGTGCAATTAACAGAAGCACTTAATTAGACGAATTTGACAAGTTTTAAGACTTAATTGCATTTTTTTAAGTTTAAAAACTCAACTGTACTTTCGTGACAAGTTTAGGACTTGCAATGCATTTATCCCTCAATTTTATTTATTACTCTATTTTATGGAAAAAGCTCGTTTGATAAGTGAAAATACAAGGTCTATCTATGAAGTAGATTTTTTTTCTAATATTTCATGCAAATTATAAGGAATAAGATTTTCGCTCAGTTATCTTAAACCCTCTTGTTTTCATTTGGAGAATGAGATCAGATTCATTTTTGCTGGGCATCTAGATTGATCAACGAAACACATTTTCTTCGATCGGTCCACTTTTCTCTAATTAGTACGACCCCAATGAAAGACCACTCAGTAAGAAATTATTATATGCTTCAAAATTGGCACGCCCAACATCGTTGGATGCACAATCTGCCCACTTTATTTATACCACGAGACTACTGATCTCTCGAACTTATCGTTCATTTTCAAAGAAGTTAAGAAAATTCATAACGCTTGTCACTTGATGATTAAATTCAGCGAACAACATTCTTACAACATTGACTCGACCCTCTCAGAAAGCCCTCATAATTGACTAATGCAGTGCCTTTGCTCGGGTCATGTTGGAAAATTGTGGTGAAGCAACCAAGCACAACTTTCTTGAACCGAAACCCAATCTAGTCAAGAAAATAGAGTCAATCTCAGACCCTAATACCTCGATATAGATGGACTTATCTATCAAAAATGCAGTTTATACTTGTTTTCTAGGCCCTAATACACTTTGATATAGTCGAGCTACTTTGAGATGAAGCCAAGCTCTATAGGAGTAGAATCCATTTTTTTTAAAAAGAAAAGCTCGACAAGAACTCCTATTGCTCGCACCTTACAGGCTCAGCAGGATTGTGATGCAGAAATCCTGGGATATTATGTCACTCAAAAGTTGTCCGATCCTTAAACCCCACCAGATTATCGAGCAATTTCAGACAGATTTGTTAAGATGAGGTTAAGAAAGAAGGGGCTATTAATATAAAATAATAATTATAATAATAATAATAAAATAGCTAGAAAGAAACAAGGCCTATCCTAAGCAAAATCAGGGGACACCTATTCATTTTCATCGCCACGATCAACGTCAACACCCAGGCCTGCACATTATGTTAGAGAGAGAAAAGGAGGGATACGAGAATTCTTGTATGGATTTCATTAACGACTACTCTAGAAGTAATTATGAATCAGCTTACTTGAAAAAGAAATGATTGTAATTTCACAGAGAGTTCCCATTTTATACATAATCATTTTTTTGAAAAAAAGGTGGTTCAAATTACTTATACTTAACAAGTGCGTCGAAAAAAATCTTAGTCGCGATTCTTCTTCTGTCACCGTTAGGTGCGATTGGCTCGATTGTCTTCTCTTATATCTTCAACTATATGACAAAGTCGAACCGTGAAGGGTACGAACTTTTGCTCCCCGTGTGCTCTTAGGTGCTGCTGCTTCATGTGAAAAGAGCTTCGAATTGGCGCCGTATGGGTAGGGTTGCATGGGTAGGCCTCACAAATCTTAAAATTTGAGGATCGTCAGCGGATCGAATAGTTAGGACTTCAAGCGCAACATTTCGCAGAACCCCATGGACTTGGATATCGCCGATGCCGACTTTATCTTCTTGTTAAAAAGTTATTTGCATGATTTATAAATGATGCCGATCAATACCATCTCGTGATAAAGTAAAATAAAATGGACAAAAAAAAAAGGAACTTTTTTGGTGTCTAGAGGTTGGAGCCTTGGAGGTGTGTTTTGAGTTTCCTAGAATCAAGAGTCGCCCTCAAGACACGCTCTGACTCTTCTGATCCACATTGTCTCTGAGCTATGCTTAGGCCCCACGCTCCTCCTCTCTCCATTTCCCCATGTCTCTCTCTCTCTCCTCTCTCTTCCTGCAGCCACAACTTCTGTTCAAAGATAGCACGCTTCGGTTCGTCTCCAACCTCCTCGAGCTACACAGATCAGACGGTGTCCATATGAAACATAAGAGAGGGACACTCATGTCCTAATGTGTATACACAGCAAACTTATGCATTGGATCAACAAATTTGCCCGTCTTTCTCTCAACACGGTCCTCGAACTCAAGGAAGCTATGTGGTTAAATCCTTGAACTTATAGAATTGTCCCAATCGAGTCTTCCAGGATCACTATATCGAACGGATCAAAGTCGATGTACTCGGTGACGCCGTTCAAAAATATGATCAGGAAAAGAAATTGTCGCTACAATAAAAATCCGATTTGCGCGACCAAACTGTATAAACGATGATCTAAAGATGTACTGAACAAATTTCACTAACTTTTCAACATCAAATAATGATATATGGAAAAAGGGTGTACTATATGGAAAACTATAAATATATTGATGAGTTCCTTTGAGGGACTAGGGCGGACACAGTTGTTTTAATTTCCACACAATTAACTTTTGGGATTAGTGCTTTTAAATCAGGTTAATTCCATCAAGTCCATTTGATATAGTTTTGTATATATTGAGCTTTTAATGTGTTGCAACTCCACTATCAAGTGCAGTAACTTTCTGTGTATGATAACACATTTAAACTACAGCACCTCGAAATTGGATGACGTTGGTTCTTAGAAAATTGTAGTGAGTTGCTACTGCTTAGCAGGTGCTACCATTCTAAGGTACTTTTGACAAAACGAAGAGATTTAGACATGTTTTTCGACGATAAGCTCATATCGACCAATCTAATATCCGTTTGATACGTAATCGATCGAAGACTACGGGAAAACGGCGAAAATCAAGAAAAGTTTCCGGTTCTGCATCTAATGGTGCGTCTTGCTTCGACTCATACCAAACCAGCTCATATTCCTTTAGTCTCGCATTGGGATGAAACTCTCTTTACAAAAATCGTAAGAACCTTTCTATAATTGGAGCAATCGTGGAATAGTGATATCAAACAACATCTCAACATACTTAGTACCGCCGTTTAGCTTGCTCTCCATCATGTCAACTCATCACTCGCACCCTGTTGCCGTCCCCATATCACCCTGTGAAAGCCTGCCCCCTTAAAGGTGAGCGGTTCCAAATTTCGTACAAGTTCCACTTGGAACCCGAAACCTACTCATTGAAACAAGTTCCTCATTTTTTGGAATATGAAACCTACTATGTATATCTTGGAATCTGGAACCTATCCTGTCATAAGTTCCAGGATCGGTTCCAGATTTTACTCAATATCCACTTATATTATTAATTGAACGATTGCAGTAAATCATTGCATTTAAAGACCAACACTTGTTACTACAATCCACTTACCACAACTTATATTTGAACACACGAAAAATATGAAATATTAACAAAGTAAAAGTCTCGGTCATAAAATGAAAGTTCAAACTAGTGATTCCAGATTATACACTCATCATCAAACGCCATGTAATATCGCATGATCACGCCAAAACATAGACAAAAAAAATACAAAAACTTGTTCCGAGTTGTGGGTTTCATCTACTTAGAACCTGAAATTTACCAGTCAAAATAGGTTCTCCAATTTTTGAAACATGAAACTTACCCTGCATATTGTGGAACCTAAAACCGAACAGGTTCCCATCGATCCAATTCTTCGATTGCAGGTTCATCATGAAACTATGCTCACCCCTACCCCTCCGGCCCCTCCTAAAATTTATACCTTCATCTCGTCGGCATGTCATCGACTATTGGGCCATGCGGTCATCTCTCTCTATCGTGTTGGCTCGTCACTTGCTTACCGTTGCCCCCTGCGAGCTCCGCCACCATTCCCACCTTCTTTCCCCGCCATCATCACCTTGGCTGGGGTCGCAGATCAAGCGGCCGGTGCTTGCGTGAGAGAGAGAGAGATTGTGAGAGCAGCGAGACCTCTAGGTCATGATGTAATGACGAGATTTCAGTTCCTCAGATCTCTCTCATACGATATGGGTTTGGTACGTGATAAATTCCAAGATTAGAGCATCTCAATCCATCTCATTACAAATCGCCAGATCTTCCGTATTATGCACAGTGGTTAAACCGAATTTCCATGGCCTTTTCTCCCTTAACAAAGTCCGGGGTCAAGTCGAGTCGAGCAAGAGCAATAATTATGTGGGACCCACTTGCGAAATGGAGGGAGGGAGGGGGCGGGTCCCGCTCCACCGCCCATGCGCACTCTGATCTGTCCGAACCCTCCAAACCCGAAAAAGAAATTCATCAAACCTTCAATGGGCTTCTTCTTCAGAGAGAGAGAGAGAGAGAGAGAGAGAGAGAGATTGACCTAACCCTAACCCAACCCAAAGCTTACTCCTCCTTTCTCATCTTCTGCCCCTCTCTCTCTCTCTCTCTCTTCTCCTCTCCCTAAACCCAAACCCTTACCAGCAAGACAACCTCCTCCTCCCTCAGCTTTATGGAGGACACTTGAGGAACCTAAGCAGAACAAGCCCCATCACCACCACTCTCCAATCTCGCTCGAAAGGACACTTCAATTCAGCTCAAGATTTGGTGGGCGTAGCGCGATTCATCCTCAAGAAAGCAAGCTCTCTCTCTCTCTCTCTCTCTCTCTCTCTCGTGAAGCTCATCCCCACCAGCAGCTCTCGAGCAAGAATCGACGACACGAAAAGATACAAGGCAGTTCTTGGGGTTCCAAAGTTTTTGTGTGGAAAAGGGTAATAATTCACCAGGTGGTGTTTTGAGCACACACAAAAGAGATACCGCAAGCGAAGCCAGCAAAAGAAATGGATCCAGTAACAGCACATGGACGTCCTCTTCCGCTTCCTTTCCTCAGCCGAGACCTCCACAGCTTTGCTCCTCATCACCAATTCCAATCCCACCACCACCAGCAGAACTCCGAGGATGACAACCTCAGCAACAACAGCAGCTTCGGCCACGGCCAGAAACGGGATCGCGACGACTACTCCTCCACCTCTGCCGCCACCATTTCCCCCGCTGCCGATGGGAAAGAAGCTGTTGGAGGAGGAGGTAAAGAGGCCACGAGGAGGCCAAGGGGGCGGCCAGCAGGTTCGAAGAACAAGCCGAAGCCCCCCATCATCATAACCCGTGACAGCCCCAACGCCCTCCGCTCCCATGTCGTGGAGGTCGCCAGCGGCGCCGACATCATGGAGAGCATGTCGGCCTTCGCGAGGCGACAGCAGCGCGGGGTCTGCATCCTGAGCGGGAGTGGGACCGTCACCAACGTCGCCCTCCGGCAGCCGGCCTCCCCGGGAGCGGTCGTGACGCTGCATGGGCGGTTCGAGATCCTGTCGCTGTCGGGGTCGTTCCTGCCACCCCCGGCCCCGCCGGCGCTGTCGGGGCTGACTGTGTACCTGGCGGGCGGGCAGGGGCAGGTGGTAGGGGGACATGTGGTGGGTCCCCTCATGGCGTCGGGGCCGGTGGTGATAATGGCAGCTTCGTTTGGGAACGCCGCTTACGAGAGGCTCCCGCTCGAGGAGGAGGAGGCAGGGACGGCGATGCCGGTGCCGAGTGGCGGTCAGTTGGGATCGCCTGGAATGGTCGGACAGCAGCAGCAACAGCAGCAGCAGCTAATGCCTGCAGACGCGAATGGAGCGTTATTGCATGGTTTTGCACCGAATCTATTGAATTCATGCAATTTGCCCGGTGAGACATACTGGGGAGCTGCTCGCCCTCCTCCTTATTGAATTAACCCAAAGAATGAAATAGATTCACGCCATTTTTCTTTTAATGTGTTCTTCGGATCTACCTTCTATTTTCTTTTCCTTTCTTTTCATTTGACTTTCTTTCTAGCGACCTTTCCTTCTACTTTTTTCTTGTTACTTACTAATATGTGGGGGTCGTGATGTTAGTCATATGGTGTTTCACCTCTTATAATTGATTTGAAGAAGGATGTGTAAATTCAAAGAAGATTCTTTTCTGTTGGGTTTTGATTTTGATCAAAGTGGCTCTCTTTCATCCAGATAGCTCAAAAACGAAGAAATGGCAAAATGTAGCCATAAATCTCTCTCTCTCTCTCTCTCCAGTCATTTTATCTTTATGGTTGCAGTTCTGGTCATGTCACAACCCTGTTTGCCTTCACACTTTTCTGTAAAAAAGAAGGAAGATTTTGGACCCCAGAAAAGATAAATATAGAATCAAAAACTCAAAAAAGAGGAGGAACCCAAAGTTGGGGATAGATATAAGTACCAAATGTGGTGGGCACTCATGAGAGCGAACACATGACTGCACACACATAGTACCATCTTTTTCCTCATATCATCATTTGAACCAAACCATAAGCACCTCGGTGTCTCCTCTCTCTCTCTCTCTCTCTCTCTGAACCTGTCATGATGATGGTGTTTCTGTACATAGTCTTCATCATTGCTATTTATTGTTTCCTTTTCGAGGGCATGCATGTTTCTATTCAAAGCAAGCGAAACTCCTATTTTTAGTCGGTCTTGAATCTGGGATGAGCTATATGAAGGGTGAAGTTGGTCTTTCTCCTTTTCCACCCTCGTTTCTCGTTTCTTTTTCCCTTCCCTTTTCTGCAAATCTATGGAGAATAGGGGGGTGGTCTCAAACGGTGGCAGAAATGAATGGGTCACACGTGCGCTGGCTCTGTGAGAGAGAAAGACAGAGAGAGAGAAAACGGGTTTCCTTTCCGAGGCTGCATACGTTCGACTGTTGTTCCAATTAAAGAAGAGACAACGACCATGACACACACTGATCCGACCTCAAGCTTTTTCACTCACTAGTCACCCCCCCCCCTCTCTCTCTCTCTCTCTAAAGGACGATCAAGTCTGGTGTGGCATCATCGGTCAGAGGAGTGAAGTTCGGGAGTGAATCACTGCGAGAGAGGTGAGTTTCATCTTTATTGAAGGCAGCTTTTTGTCTTGTTGCTTCCTAAATGACATGTTGGGGGGTCGTTTCTTTTCATTCTTTGGTTGATATTGTGGGTTTAATTCTTAACTTCTCATGTTTTGCGGTCGATCTAATTGCTTTTGTTCTTTCTTCCCATCTCCTTATGGCTTCTTTGTTTCTAGGGTTTTTTTCTAATTTTGTTTCTCCTCTCTCAATCTTCTAAGTTACACGCATTACACGTGTCAGGTGACTGCTCTATACTGCTAATTATATAACGATAAGACCTCATTTAGTGAAAATCATTTAGCGTTGAGATCATCTCAATAGATCAACTCAACTGTCTGAAAAATCATGATTTGCCAGTGTGAAATTAATCTTAATAATCCATCTTTCTTTCATAATGACTCTACATGATTTTAGGATATAAAGTGAGCTAACTTATGACCAAAAAAAAAAGAAAATTTGATAGGTTTCATATAATGAGATTTCTCGCGTCTTATAAGAATTTCTTAAAGTTTTCAAAGAAGAACTCATCGAAATTGATTGTAAGCTGAATATGAAATCTCGAAAAGTAATGACATTATAAACGAGACAATTGAGATAAATACAAGTAGCTGCATTTGTTTAATTGTGGAATTAATCAAGTGATGAAGAAAATACCTCGAGTGCAGCAACATATTTGAAATACAAGTGTGAGCTAAGATTCGCACCATAAATTCAGGAAAAAGGATTCATTCATTGCATGGCCCGAAAGATTTTCATCTTGTCATTAAGCAAAATCCCTGGAAAAGGACAAGAAAAATTAAAACAGGTGTACCTAACTAAGTTGTCGAGTCTAAGAATGATTAAGTAATGAGACATAAGTATGTCAATGGTCCATATATGTCTCGTTTGCTGGTGAGCTCAGAAAAGTTTCATGACAATGGTCAGAGCTCGTAAGAGTTGTGTAGTGATTTGAGGATCTATCGATCTAAACTCGACTCTAAGTTTTCGAAATCGTGTCGAGTTCATGCAAAAAAAAAACATGCTTTTATGCAGCTCATCGATCTTAATGAGCAATGGAAAGTACATTTGAAGCATCCGCATCGTCATGTCGTCTTCATCATCAAATATGCTGCTTCAATTTGAAGACAGTTCTACAATCGAACTAACCAGCTGTATGTAGGCAACTCAAGTTTTGTCAATATAATATCGTGAAAGCGGGTTTAGTTTAAAATCAAATCATATGATATCTTAGCCTGCATTTGCTCTCCCCATGATTCGCTATTCAGTTGTTCTGAAATGTCCACATCTACATATACAACTTTGAGGATCAATTTTTATGGTTTAAATTTCCCATAATCATCATCTATAACAACTAAAATCACTCACCCTAACGTCCAATTCACTCCATTTTACTTTCTGATACATATTTTAGTAAGCCAAGAGGATTTTATGTGATTAGAAGAGACTTAATCTGGCTCAACGATAACGATACACCGAAGCACAAATCACCACAAAATTGTCAGAAAAGATGCTGAGAACATGATGCTAAGCCAATTAGCAAGAGCACTTTCTCTGAATAGGTGAGTTCAAGATTGGCAATGCATGTGTGAACTTAATCTGACTAAAATGGCTTAGTCCGGGATGTATCAGAGGAAGAGATTTGTAATGCACTCGCTGTTAATTGAACAATTCCAACAATAGAGGAAGCTGCTCTAGGGGCTTGACTAGGAAATGCTCGTCGCCGGCTGTGTCTTCACCTACAACATTGCCGACAAATAAAAGGAAAGAGTGCAAAGAGCATTCATGTCCGTACCAGATGCATCTTATCACGTGTACGACATTGTCTCGTCAAAGTCCGAACTATGTCCGTATCGACTTTGTCTGGTATGTACATTTTTACCCGATTCACGGTGATACTTCTTTCACACACGCCTTGCTGAATAACTTCACTATCCTCGTCAAGCGGGGAAGGAAAAAACACACACTCAAAAGGTTCATAATCAACCCTAACATTTGCGCTCATCAGCAAGCTTTGATCAATGAAAGACAATACGAAGATAAACATTGACTCAAGTATCCCTCGTACGTTCCCAAAGAAATTATTAAGAAGTAACAAACAAAGAAAACATAATTACAGGAAAAAGAATGTTTGAAAAAGACAGTCATTGCAGCTTTGATGGAACAATCACTAGCTTAACAAAAACAACGAAGCAAAAAAAGAAGCAATCGATAATAGATAGTGGAAAAATGATGAAACTGATACGCATGAGGTCAATGAAGCTATTCTTTGATGATAAGCCATGATCCTATTGACCCTGCTTAAAAAGAACCTTTAGATACTGAATGAACAGAGCGGGTCGTTCGCACAAACCCTCCAGTCCTTGTTTTGGGTTTTTCCATCAGAAGAAAAGATAGAACATTAAAGAATGCTGATATTCATTGCTCATGACAGATACAACAAATGTTTATATATACAGAGGATGACATGTCAAGTGGCTCCTTACACACATACACTGTCAAAAGAAATTGACTTCTCTTCAATCCCCGAGCCCGAAAAGAATACATGGCCTCTGACCTAACAACTTTATATATCTGCGACCTCGGCACTGCTAGACAACAAGATGGCAGAACCACTGCAACATGGTATCCGTCTTTCCAAAACCAAAACTGCTAGCACATTTAAAGTCGCCCTATTTCCCCTAATTTGAACAAGAACCATCTATATATCACCCGACAAGGTACATATACGTGTACATGATCTCCCTGACTGATCAATAAAGTAAAACGTTGTATCCCAGATTAGTATTCCACCCGCAGCCGCCTTAACTCTGCCCGGAAGGTCTGGCTTGAGTTCAAAGTCTTGTGGGCAAGATTCCTTATGTCTTCACGCGAACAGTCACGTGAGATACGAACTAGTTCCCACAAGGCACCACCACTAACCATATCCTTCGCATTCACTTCTGCAGTTTGTTCTAATCATCAATTTAAATTCATATTTGCAACTTAACAGGAGGTAGAGATTATTTCCTTACCATGTTGTGCCAAGTGGCATAGGGCAAGCTCTATGTGGCGCCTAATTGGAGCTGCTTCGTCATTGGCATTGTGCACAATCCATGGAAGTGCACCATCTTCAATTAAAAATGATTTCCCAGTCCTTATCCCTGTGGTTGGCAGTGAAACACCGTCATCAGCTACTCTATGCAAAAGCTGTATAGGATCATATCTATTCTTTACAACAATAAGAAACTTAAACTATTTCACATTAACCATCATGCCCTACTGTTCTTCCCCTGGTGTAATCCAGGAGATACAATAGGCTGCTAAAAACAAGAACTTGATAAACAGCACCAAAACTTAGCAAATTGTTACTCATGTAGTTAGTCAAGTAGCATTGAGTGTCTATTAAAAGTCCTCAATATCATGCCCCAAGATCTGTGGTGTACCTTGAGTAGCCAAACGGGACTCGCATTTTGCGAAGTTGGCAATACCGCGAGCAACTTGAGATAATACATCAGGATGTCCACATCTGACAGTCCCCAGCAAAGCCCGTATACCACCTTCAGTCCTCAGCTTCTGCTGGAGTTTGTCTGGTCAAGGAATATATCGTTCTCAACAAGTCAACTAAATACGTAATCAGGAAAGATTGAAGAAACAGAATTGCAATACAAACACCTTCTAGTGCATTCTAGATAAACTGAACTGTATCGTGTACTGTACTGTAGAATATCCCAACAGACAACATAAGCGCCTTAAAGTCTGGTCATTGCTGCTAATAACAAAGCCCACCACCCCTTCCCCTTATTCCTCAATTTAAGGGGGATAAGACAAGAAAGATTATGAATCCAAGGGCCTCTACTCCCGATATTTAGCACTCAAATTTCCCTAGTTTCTTAACTTGGCCACAAGCCTGTTTCAACAGCCCTGGCAAGAAAAAATGGCCTAAATGTACAAATGATAGCCATCATGCCCGGTGATTAAGGTCCCATCATTTCTCTACGAATGACCAGCATTTACATGTGCTTATTTCCAATACCATGATTCACCAGGGGTGTAAATGGCTCG